AAGAAAGAAAGAAAGAAAGAAAGAAAGAAAGAAAGAAAGAAAGAATTCTTAGTTGTGCCATGTTCTTTCTATTATTATTATTATTATTATTATTATTATTATTATTATTGAGACAGGGTCTCATGTATTCCAGGTGGCCTCAAATTTGATATGCAGCTGAGGGTGACCTTGAATTTCTTATCCTCCTACCTCTGTCTCCTGAGGGCTGGGGCCACAGATGTGTGCCACTATGCCTGGTTCATGTAGTGCAGGGCTCTGTGAATGCTAGGCAAGCACTCTACCCACTGAGCCATATCCCCAGTTCCTACACAATGTTCTTATATCTTATCTGAATATGGCAAAGCAATAAAGTGAAGATGTTCATGCAAAGAAAGTAACATAACAATGTCATGTGAATGAAGAACGCAGGAACCACTTCTAAAAAACATACCAGTTATTCAAGCTACTCATCAGAGAAAATGAAATACTATCATTCTTAACAAGACAAGGATAATGCTGGTACAAAGAGTTCAGAAAATAATTCAGTTTTTTATTATGGGTAGACTCTCCTTCATGTATTTGTATTGTTTTCAGTGAAATCTCCATGAAACTAAACAATTATTCTTTAATATACAGTAACCCAGAAAGAGAAGATCTTGTGAACATTCTAAAAAATTAAAGCATTAGTTAGGGTTATTATGGTTTAAATGCTTGATGCCCTTCACAGGCCCATATGCTGAATGTCTGGTTCCTAGCTGGTAGTATTACTTTAGCAGGTTCTGGAAACTTATAAGAGGTGGGGTCTAGTTGAAGAAAGGAGGTCACTGGAGCCTGGGATGCTTTTAAAGGTTACACTTGGTCCTCTGTTCCTTCCTGCATGGCTTCCTATCTGCCATGAGGTGAAGCTCCTCTGTATGCCACATGCTGCTGCTGCTGCTAAGATGCTCTACCCAAGGACATGGGGCCAAGGAACCATGGACTGAATCCTCTGAAACTATGAGCCAAAAGAAATCTTTCCCTTAAGCTATTCTCTCAAGTATTTGGTCAGATGGTACAAAAGTAGCTAATACAGGTGCTATTCAGTATCTCTATTGTGAGAAATTATGTAGAGTAATAAGCATTATGGGACAGACATAGGTTCTTTTATTACATTCACTAGCTTTATAGTACATTTATGTATGTGTACATGTGTGTATGATGTATTCGTATGTGAATGTGAGAGCACATATGTCACAGCACTTGTTTCACAGCATACACATAGAAGTCAGGAAAAGCACAGGTGCCAGTTCTCGCCTTCTACCTTGTTTGAGGTAGGGTCTCTTGCTTCCTGCTGCATGTGTCAGGCTAGCTGTCCCAAGGGTTTCTGGACATTCTCCTGTCTCCACTTCCCATCTAGTCATAGGAGTACTGGGATTACAGACTCATGCTACAATGCCTGGCTTTATGTGGATTCTGGGGATTTGAAGTCAGGCTCTCACACTTTCACAGGTAGCACCTGAGCCACTGAGTCATTCCTAGTCCTATATTTTTGAAAACCAATTTATAAAAGTTCTTTATCAACAACTAAGGCAATAAGACTGGCTTACATTCTAGATTTGCTTCCTAGAAACATTTTCATTGCTGTTTTTGAGAGAGTCTCATGTAGCTCAAGCTGATCTCAAATTTGCAATGTAGCTGAGAGATACCTTGAACTTCTGATCTTTTGCTTCTATCTCCCAAGGGCTGGGATTAGAAGTGTGGGCCATGATGTCCAGGCTTTAGAAACATGACAGACAGACAGAGAGACTTATTGATTGATTGACAGGGTCTCACTATGTAGCCCTCGCTGGCTTGGAGCTCGCTATGTAGACCAAACTGTTCTCAAACTCACAAAGATCCTCCTGCTTCTACTTCTCAAGTGCTGGGATTAAAGGCATGTGGCATCATGCCTGATGAAACATTTTCTTTAAAAGATTTACTTTTATTTATGTGTATATGTATGTGTCTATGTATGTAGATGTCCTATGTGTGCCTACTGAGACCAGAAGAGGTTACTGGATCCTCTGAAACTGGAGTTATAGGTGGTTGTAAGTGCCCTGGTGTAGGTGCTGGAAACTGAACGCAGGTACTCGGGAAGAACAGCAAATGCTCTTAACTGCTGAGCCATCTCTCCAACCTTTGGAAACACCTTTGATTATCCTAACTTTGGCGGGTAGAGATGCTGACAGGTGAAAAGTTAGGGAAGCTACTAAAAACCCTATAACACTCCTTTTGAAGCTTTTCAACAAAGAATGATCAGGCCCAAATGTTAAAAGTGCTGAGGTCAGAAACCCTGCTATGAACTATACTGATAAGCAGGGAATCAAATTACCCAGGAATAATTTACTAGATAAAACTCTTGAAGGGGACATTGCTTTATCTTCATATTTCTAATATCTAAGAGGATCTGACAGTATGTACCTGGAAAATATCTGATGAACAAATAAGTAGAACAGGGTGCACTCTCCAAAGAACACAGCTCTTAAGAACAGAGCTGCATGTGAGAGTGGCTTGATGGCAAACTTAAGCATAAAGCACCTAGGACCACACCTCATCACCTGCTGCAAATGTATGATACAGAATGGAATGGCCAGTTGGTCACAAGCAAACTTCTTCAGTTTAAGCTGGGAGTGTGGTTCAGTGGTAATTACCTAGTATGCACAAGACCTTGGGTCCAACTCTGGTATTGTAACAAACAAACATCTTTTCACTTTTCAATCTTGTTGTGATATTGGACCTCACACATACTAGGCAAATGCTTTACCACTGAGCTACAACCCCCAGCCCTTATGATATTGTGTGTGTGTGTGTGTGTGTGTGTGTGTGTGTGTGTGTATCTGTGTAAGGCTATATACATTTAACTAAGATTTTGAGCCTTAAAGATTCATTTTAAAAGTAGCTGAGGGTCAGCAAATGACTCAGCAGGTAAAGGTGCTTGCTGCCAAGTCTGAGAACCTGAGTTCAATCCCTGGGACCTATATAATAGCAGAGAACCAACTCCAGCAAGCTGTTCTCTGATCTCCATGTGTGCTATGTGGAGATCATATGCATACAAAATAAGTTTTTATTTTTTTAAATAATTTGTATAAATTTTATTGCTTCAAGAATTTCATACAATCATCTTTTAATTAAATTTTCTTTATATTTTTTATATGTCTGAGTGTTTTGCCTACAGGTAAGCGCACCCATGCATGCAACGCCTAAGGAGGTCAGAAGAGGGTGTTGGATCCCCTGGAACTGGAGTAACAGCTGTCACCATGTGTATGCTGGGAACAGAAACTGGGTCCTCTGCAAGAGCAGCTAGAGCTCTTAACTTCTGAATCATCTCTTTAATCTCTTCAGTCTCAATTATTATTATTATTTTTCCTTTTTGAGACAGGGTCTCCCTGTAGACCCAATTGGCCTGGAACTCACCATGCAGACCAGACTGGCCTTAAACTCACAGAGATCTGCCTCTCTGCCTCCCAAGTGCTGGGATTAAAGGTACTAAATAAGTTTTTTTATAAAGTACCTGAGGTTCTAATTTAACTTCGTATCTTTCATATCTATAGTCCAGGTAAAATATTCACATAATAAGATATAAAGGTCTAAAGGCCTTCATTGAATTAAAAACTACACTTATTAGATATAAACATAAAATCATGTACTTTATTAATTTGTTAATTGTTTAG